CCCCCCCCGACAGGTACTTGTTAAAGGGTGTTTCATTGAATTCCGCAGGACCGGAAGGAAGACGTGAACCGGAATTGAAACTTGCGGAACCAACAACCGTTGTCGGGGTATGAGAAATGCGTGATTCTCTGACCCTTTGTCTTATTTCTCAGTCCGCCTTTCTGTTTTGAATTTCCTGGGATTTCAAGACATTCTTTTTACCGTGCAGGACGAAAGCGTCCGCGCCCTGCGAACACCCCATTTTTACTCACTGTGTGAAATAGTTGTAGGTTTTACAGGAAAACTTTCCCTGTTGCGTATCGTAAAATTACAATTCAGAATTGTAAAATGACAAACATTTTCTATCGACGTGCAATTGATCGACGACGAGCAAGAATGGGCACTTGTAAATTTACAACATATTTTGTTCATGAAAATTACAAAATATGTTGCAAATTTACGGGGATATCTTTCACAAGTGACTGGGGCGCGTCCTTAGCAGTTTCAGCTGGAATAAACAACTAGTTGGGGAACTGGTGTTGGAAATATAACATTTCACCTCTCATTCGGATAGAGACACATAATGGTCTGTCGAGCAATTATGTGTTAGGTGTGGGGGAGGTCGCGCTGGGTGGCATGCACGACTTACTCGCACCTCACGCGAGGCGCTACCCAATCGGCTGTCAACGAGATATGAACACCGGAAATACTTTCCGACGCATCCGTGCAACAAAGGCGGATCAGAAAGCGCGGTCACTGAACAAATTCGCATTGATCGAAGGGAAGGTATCTCACACAGACGTTGTACCGTTTTCAGTGAAACGCTATTTCAATTGTCATCACACATCGTGATTCAAAAGAGACAACACCCACCCAACACGATGTGATTTCTCTGAGAATAGCTAAAGGCTTCTCAAGTGAAGTGTGTCATGTCCAGATTATCAAAAAGCAGATCCGCGTCGTTGTAGAGATGTGCGAACATTCTTGGTTCGTATTCAAACGAACACCAACAGAAATTTCGAAAAACAATTTGAACCGAACCGAACACCTTAGCCATAGTAGGTCTTCATATCAGAACGAACAGTGCTCGAACAGTCATCCCTAAAAGTTCTCTTTTCATAATTATTTTCAATCAGTCACCCGTTCGTCGTCGCTTTCATTTCCGCCTCTGCGACGCTCTTTGGGACAAGTTTTTGAGAACGCCTTGAAACAACGAACAATGAAGACGTTATTTTTCGAACAGATCGTGCTCGAACACTTCATGTTCAGTGTCGAACAAATAAATATTGTGTTTGGTTCGCTCGAGTTCGTTCGAATTCGAACATGTTCGCACATCTCTACGTCGTTGTTCGGCAACCGTTTTCCGACGCCTTTGTCCAGCGACCGCTTTCTGATACGCCTGTGTTGCATGGATGCGTTATTGTTTTGGGAGAACATCTGTTGTAGGCCTACTGCGTTTGCTATCGCCGTTTCAAATCCTGCCGCCTATCGAGGGTCGATCGACATGTTTCTCTCTGTTTCACTGCGCGTTGGCACGATTCGAGAGCGGGTCCCCAGAGCGGGCCGCGCATATCCGCAGCACGGAGGTCTCGACGCGGGGCCCAGGGCCCATCACCACAGCCTGATTAACAAGCCTCTCTAGTGCTGCGCTACATCATCCAACATGGCAGTCATACGCACGGCCCTAGCACTTATGTGCCTGGCGGGTATCCACGGCAAATCCATCCACTCTATTATAGTGAGTTAGGTAAATACCTTTTTTGAATGTTAATTTAAAATGTAGACTGTACATGTGTTGTCAACACTGGCCTCAACGGCAAGTAAAGGTTTCACATCTCTTTTTCGAATAGGGGCCATTCGTTTCCTACGCCGAACGCTTTTACATGTGTGAACCCGACAACCACTCGCTTCGCTGGACATGGTATTTGCGTGCTAGTCACTACAACCCACTTAAACCTAACGAGTTGCAACGCCTGACGGGTAATGTGACGATTGCAACTGATCCTCTTGACAACAACTGCTGGGTAAGACATTGCAAATAATAAGATGTGTGTTAAAAGGCAAGCACTTCAAGTCAGGCGCGGTATAAGGTCCGGGTGACGGGTGATGGGTTTTGTGGCACAAATTGCCTACCTTTCAGGCGGCTCACTAGACACGATGGGGGCGATCCCCCCCCCCCTAATACCGCGCCTGTTCAGAGTGACTGTCGAAGTGGCACACACAAAGGTGTGCGTGTGTTATGTTGGCCATCTGAACACAAAACTGAGCGGGGTCAATCAGACACGTGCTAAACTTTTCTCCACTGGTCACACACTGCTTGCATCCACACTGGTAAAACAGAGGCGCGAATCCCTACCTTTGAAAGGCACTAAATGTGACCTTTCACACCTTTAGCTGGCTAAGTTCCATACAAGTTTAGTGCCTTTGGAAAGGCACGAAACTTTAGTGCCCCAGGAAAGGCACTAAACTGCGCCCTTGACTTTAATGCCCCAGGAAAGGTGTTGTTTAGTGCATTTGTTTTTCCAGTGCAGTGTTTAATGGTCACACAATATTGTGTGTAAAACTTTACGGCACACACTTTTGAGTTTTTGGGTGCCCCATATTTATAAGAGCAGGCGTTGGAAAAGGGCAGAAATGAGAATCGACTATTACGAACGGAATTTTTCTTCTAGATTAAAATAATTGGGGACACTCGGTCAAATAACCAATGGAAGGAAAACGCCCTTGTCTGCCATTTTAGAAAGAATGCATATCGGGTTATTAAAGAAAATATTCCCGGATTTTACGAGCGGTTTTTCAAGATGGGAGACGATAAAGATGCAAGGCATTTTAAACCTGTAAGTACTAAGACTGCTGGTGAGAGCTAGTCATACTATTAGGTATTCAAACCCGAAAGAATTATAAAAGCTGTGATGACTTTTATTTACAGAGAGTTTACGAGGTCGATAATGGCACAGTCGACTGGGGTTCTCCTAATGTTCCAGTCATACCTTATGGACAGTATAGGTTTAGAGTCCTGATTGGCAAAGCTGAAAACACATACGCATGCTGGGTGGCAAATTCTAGGGTAGTTCCGAGACCCGGCGGCCACGTGTAGTACTACAATGTTTATGGTTAGTTTATTGCTGTTCGAGCCCCTCGCAGCTGTTGCGCGGGGTCCAGAAATAATGATTGAAACTGGGCATAGCAACCCCGTCGAATATCGTTTTGTTTGTTAACACTGTACTTGCACTGTTAAAAACGGCGGCCAGTCGACCAGTCTCCGCCTGTTGAACCAGATTCGAATTCGTTCGATTTCTAATTTGCCTGATTCAATATCGAATAATTCTAAATTTCAAATCGGGTTGGTTGGACATCGCATCGCATTGGGGTCATTGGGGTCTTAAGCGTGGCCCCCGCACCGCACTATATGCCCGCACCACACGTTGTACTGTCGTCGTACATCTACGGTACAGGACCAATTTAAATGAGTTTAAAAATACCGCGCAACGTGTGTGTGAAAAATACGTGTGACTTTGTTTCGATTCGATTTGGGCTCGAATTTTGGCTGATTCGATTCCAAATTTTTTTCGATCCGAATCGAAGATAAATATTTGAGATTCGATTATTAGGTAAAAACCTCGACTCACACAGCTCTAGTCTATGGGGGAATGATGTACATGACGGAAATGTTTGAATATATGCATAGATAAAGATGACGGCGTTAATTATTTGCGACATGTTCCCTCTTAGTTTTCTTGCAGCCCACGAAGCTGCAACAATTCAACAAGCTTCAAAACTGCCCACGAAGTGCAACGACCAAACGACGCCGGCACGGCAAGCAGGCCCGTCTGGGCCCGGCCCTGTCGAGGAAGGGCGGACACGCTCGTTTATTTTCTATGAAACATTTCTCACACTCTTACTGCCCCATTTCGATGTTTGTAGTGTTGTACTTTTTACTTCTTATTTCCGATCACCAGATTCACTGAACTACTCGACCCATAGCGCGGCGAATCTCTCCAGGCCGCCTGCACCCTAACTGTTTTCCTGTTTCATTTTGTACATTTTTTTTCAGTCAGCCCACCTCACAAAACGGTCTATCAAATTCACGGCTCTATTTATTTTTTTCCGCTTGTACCCTGGACGGACCAACTGATACTCAACGAGTGCGAAAGAGACAGAGACAGAAGCGTAATCGCCATAGCTCCCAAATTGAAAACTCCACAAAAGACTGTAATTGATCATATCGTTACTGATTTACTGTATTGAATTAGGTTTGTCAGTTTAGGCTTGCCTCTAGTTTTGAAAATAGACAGTTAGATGCATAGATAATATCAAAACTGATTTACTGTATTGAGTTAGGTTTGTTAATTTAGGTTTCCTTTTGTGCATAGTCACTGACACCTTCCGACTGTCCCAATGCACGCGTCGCTTTTCGTATCATTAGGGCCGTGAAGTGGCGCGGAGGGGCTTGGGACTGTGCGTGGCGCTTATCGTCCGGGCCTGCGCCGCGTGCGTTTAAGGACCGGCCCCCGCCCAGTGACCTGTCATGTCAGCTGGGCGCAGCCACTGAAATCCGTGCGACTCCCACGCTAATGGGCATGATAACTCCAAAAAATGTGATAAAAGTATCACATTATTGTGATAAAATCATCACAAAAACAGTAAAAAATTAATTTTTGTGATGATTTTATCACAAAAATGTGATACTTTCATCACATTTTTTGGAGTTATCATGCTCTTTAGCGTGGGAATCGCAAAACACCAGTTATCGCATGGTTTTGAATTAAAAGTATCGCAAAACCAGACTCAGTGGGTCGGCCCGGCGCTTTTCGATGCTCCCCGATTAGGCGGCGCGCTGTCTGTTTTGACGTCAATGTCTCTCCTCTCCTCCGCAAACGCCGACGTAATGACGGAGCGGCCGGCTCTACGCGCTCGGCTCCCACAGGGCGTGGAGCGAAAAGAGGCAGCTGGATAGTGTGCGTAAAGACAGGCACATATATACGTGCGCGATTTGCAAAATCGCTGGAATTTCTCTCTCTCTCTCTCCTAGCACCGGCTCTCGCCCCACCCCCTCCCTCTCTCCCTCTGATGAATCGGGACATGTTTTCCACACTGGGCTCGGGCGCGACTGGAGCGCCCAGACTCCTCGCCCCACCCTCGCCCAGCCTGGCCCCGCCTCGCCCCGCCTCGTCCCGCTCCGCCGCCCCGCCCCAGTTAGTTAACGCGCGCGCTGCATTCGCACATCGTGGCGCTGGTGCTGGTGTGCTGCCCTGGCGCCGCCGTGGCGACTCCCAGCGCCCGCCGCTCCAGCCGCTGCAGCTGGCGGGACTATTGGCACGGCCTGGTATCTACCATCAAGGTCACGCCGACGGCGTGGTGCTTGGGGCAGCTGCAGCGGGCCGGCACCACCTCTGTGGTTGCGGAGCGAGTCCATAGCTAGCCCAGGGCAGTCCTTCTGTCGCAAAGCTGTACGGTACGCCGCGGCGCGCCGTCCGGGCCACCCGGGAGGCGCGCACCCGTGACACGTGACCCGGGAGATTCAGAACGATGTTTGAGGGCGGACACCCTGGGAGCAGCTGGCGGCCCCCGCCGACCGGCCGGCCCACCTTAATCGTCGTGACTCGACTGGCTCAATCACCTCCCCTCCTGGCCGCGCGCGTTATAGTGGTTAGGTTTGCATATGAAGAGGAAGTCCGTGTCTCGCCGGGTCTTGTGGAGCGAACTTCCTTGTCGTCGGAATCCTGGTGGAGTTGGTTGCGGCCGTGGAGGTCAACACGCCCATGAAGTCGTAGAGTGACGCCCAAACGGAGTGAGACAGTCAGACAGACGGACAGACGGACAGACAGACAGACAGACAGACAGACAGACAGACAGACGCACTCACACACACGAGCGGAGGAAGGGATGTATGATAGATGGCGGCTGTGCTTTACGTGTATGAAGAAGTGGTCTGGAGGTAATTGTGCGACGAAAATAAACAACTAACTGTAAGCAAGCGTTCTATGGCAAAGTTTGTTTCTTTTTTTAATAAATCAACACTCAATATTGCAAAGTTAAAAACACAAAAGGAAGCAGTCTTCTCTGCAGACTCACACTAGACAGACACACTCACGCGCGCATACAGCCATGCGCGCAGCGCCCCCTGTACGCAGGGCGAGGAGCTATAGTGGCACAAGTTACCGGCACTAGAGAGGCCGGTTATCACAGAATGGCGTCATGTAAAAAGATGCTCGAGGAAGAAAAAAGCTCGAGCTTGGTCCAGTCGGCATGAGGAGGAGGGGTCAACGCCCTTAGATGCATCATCACGCCTGGAGGCGAGGAGTCCGTTTCGGCGGGGGAGGGGGGCAGAGGAGGGGGAGCGTCCCCTTTGGACGGTCCCCCTTCCCCTGCAGGGCGGGTGGCCTGGACTAAACCCCCGTATCTGAGGGAGTTCAGTCCGGCGCCCCCGCGCGGCACTCGGGAGCGAGAGAGAGTTCAGGCAAGTCGACGGTGATCAGAACACCGCAGTGCCCTTGGTCAGTTTAGTAGGCCTGGTTGGGGGCGGCGGCGAACCGGTGCTGATGCTGCTGCAGGGGTGCGGCCAGGTACTGGTCGGCGGCGGAGAGCGGGCCCTGGGGCCTGGCGGGCCTGGCGGGCTGGAAAAGCGCGGGGCCGGCGGGGCCGGCGGCGGGGGCAGGCTGGTACCGCGGCTGGTAGGCTGGGGCGGCGGGCTGCTGGTACTGGGGCTGCTGGTAGGCGGCGGGCTGGTACTGCGGCTGCTGGTAGGCGGCGGGCGCAGGGGCGGCGGGGGCGGCGCCAGCGACGGGTGGGCGGGGCAGGTGGTCACCCTCAACCTTGAAGCCGTCCTTGCCAGCCGTGTACTTCACGGTGATGGTCTTGCCGTTGGGGTCCACGTAGCTGTACTGGCCGCGAACGTTGCCCTGCAGGGAGACAGAACGCATGGTGAGCAAACTGAGAAACTCACACACACAGAGGCAGGCACACACTCACACGCAGGCAGAAAAATGAAACGCGTACCTGTCCGTCGACATCCTCGAAGCGCTGCGACTCCTCAGTCTTGTAGTTAGTGGATGTCTGAGGCAGGCCGTTCACTGTTGAGGCAGGGGCGGCACCAGCGCGCGCGTACTGGGGCTGGTACTGGGGAGCCTGGGGTTGGTACTGGGGAACCTGGGGCCTGTACTGGGGGGCAGCCTGGGGCTGGTACTGCTGGGGCTGGTACTGGGGTGCAGCCTGGGGCTGGTACTGCTGGGGCTGGTACTGGGGTGCAGCCTGAGGCTGGTACTGGGGTGCAGCCTGGGGCTGGTACTGGGGAGCCTGGGGTTGGTACTGGGGAACCTGGGGCCTGTACTGGGGTGCAGCCTGGGGCTGGTATTGCTGGGGCTGGTACTGGGGTGCAGCCTGGGGCTGGTACTGGGGTGCGGCCTCGGGCTGGTACTGCTGCGGCTGGTACTGGGGCGCGGCTGACTGCTCGTTGTACGCGTACGGGTTCTCGTACTTGCTGGCGTCGTAGCTGCCGTCCTCCTCCTGGGCCACGGCCACGGCCACCAATACGAAGAATGCGACGAGCCTCATCTATAACGGAAATAAACGAAAACGGGAAAAATTAGTTTTGTAAACGGCGCCATTGGAAAATCTTCTGCCGGCCGGAGTGAAAACTGTACTAATGTCAGTAAATTGATCCGACGCTGCCGCTCCGCTTGACTTTGTTGTATCCCATGACTGGCGTGAAGGCTGCTGGGTCTAGAGTTGCGCGGGGCGGAGCTGGGCGGGGCAAGGCCGCTGTCCGGTCCGCGGCGCTCCCCCTGACGGCCGTCTCTTTCACCGCCAGTCCTCCTTCCTCTCTTACTGGTTGACGACAAGTATGATATGTAAAGGAGCGCCTTTACGTGGCGGGGCGCCCTCGCTACCCTGGAGGGAAGCGCCCGCAGAGTAGACCACCAGAGTGCACGGGAGCGCGACGGGAGTGCCTACCGGGCAGGCGCCCTCCCTCACTCCCTGAAGGGAAGCGCCTGTAGGGTAGGCCACCAGCCCCACGAGAGCGCACGGGAGCGCGACGGGAGTGCCTACCGGCCAGGCGCCCTACCGCTACCCTGAAGGGAAGCGCCTGTAGAGTAGGCCACCGGACCCGCTGGAGTGCACGGGAGCTCGACGGGAGTGCCTACCGAGCAGGCGCCCTCGTCCCCTAAAGACAGCTTCTACTGCTGTTCCTGCAATCACACAAGCTGCTCGTCGTAAATCGAGTACGACACTTAATGAGTGTTTTATCCTCCGGTGCTCGCTGCGCCTCCTGACCCCCGCGTCAGCGCCCGATGAGAGTCAGAGGCCGCGGCGGCAGCGGCAGCAGCGCTGCGTACGTGGCATTTAACTTTATGCCGCTATTGAAACCCTGGCTCCGCCCGCTCCGCCCCGGCTCGCAGCGCTGCGCTCAGAGTGCACGGAGTCCGCCTCGCCGCACAAAACACTCACCAAAGCGATGCATGGAGTCCCTTTTCAATGTGGGCTCGACACAGGCGCAGCACGCGTGATCGAATACAATGTTGTTCACTCGCAAAGCTTGTCAAGAGCAGGGAGAGTTCCCAGCACGCGATAATTATAGCTGCGGGACGCTTTATGCGGAGCGTGAAAATAACGTCTGGTGTGTCACCTGAACCCTGAATCTCCTACGCGTTTATTATTATTATTATTATTATTATTATTATCAAGTCCGACGCCCCGCGGCGGTCCGGCGCTGCGCGAGGCTCTGGCCGATATGACTCGGATAACAGTGCATATTGCGAGCCGAGTGTTGCCCTGGCCGCTGCGCCCGCCGCGCCCGCTGCACGGCGGCGGCCGCGCGGTCCAACGCAACCTACATCGAGGCGGTGGAGGCGGAGGTTGGAGGCGGGTTACAATGCACAGCAACTCTTAAATTGCGATATGGAACGCCGCCGACGTCCGCCAGCAGCGGCGGCAGCAGCGCCCGGCCGTTGTGCGGATTACGGCTCGAAGGGTGAACCGCTGCTGCACGCCGCGTCCGCCCGCGCCGCCCACGCGCCCGCAACACCAACCACATCAATAGTTTCCATTTCGATTATATCGATGTGTACAGAGTATCGCGTGTCGATAATGTATCGATATCAAAAACCGATACCGCGTGCGCGCGGCCTATTATCGTACTGCTCACATGTGTGTGCAGAGAGAGAGAGAGAGAGAGAGATAGAGAGGGAGGGAGGGAGAGAGAGAGAGAGAGAGAGAGAGAGAGAGAGAGAGAGGGAGAAATAGAGAGAGAGAGAGGAGAGGAGAGGCGAGGAGAGAGAGAATGAGAGGGGGGAGGTGGTCTCACTATCGAGACGGTGAGGAATGAAGATAGGGGTCGTTCGCACACGCACACACGCACACACGCACACACTTGGGAGCAGCATTCGCACGCCGCGGGTGGAGCGCAGACACGCAGACCGCGTCTGATCTGCGCCAGGGAGGGGAGCCGCGCGGCCCTGGCTGCAGTATCCCCCTGTCATAGCGAAACTAACACTCGCCTAATTAGCGTCATCAATACGAAAGCATGGCGGTGGGGAGCGAAGCGAGGCTGGCGGAAGAGAGAGAGAGAACGAATGGGGAATACAGCAAAAACATAACGCATACATACAGCAGTTTTCTAAAGGGTTTGAAAACTACAAAACTACCTCGAAATACAACATTCAAGTTATGACTGCTTATAAAACTTGACCGATGCTCGTACTTCACCCAGAAATTCATCTTAAGATGAAAAGCTGTAGCAACCATCGGACGGTTACTTTAGGGACAACCATAAAGTAGTGATGGTTGCGGCAACAATAAATTGACCGTGAGAACTAATACATGGTTCTGATAACTGTATGATTGTTAATTTTATAACCATATTATGTTTGTCCCCGAAGTAACCATGCCATGGTTGAGAACTCTCTACTTCTCTGGGTGTTGCTAATCGAAAAATGTAGTGATATAAAATGTCAATGAATCTCGTTAACACTTTCCGTGCGGGGCCCTTTTTAAGCGCATCTACCCACAGGTGGAGGGTTTTTTTTTTCGAAAAAATATTTTTTGCTCTAAAACCTAATAGAATACTCGGTTAGGCCCTTGGCACTACAGGGAAAATTTGCGACGGGTCCACAATGTGGACCCGCCGCACGGAAGGGACCATTTTGTGGGTCCACGGGTGTGGACCCGTCGCACGGAAAGTGTTAACTGACGTTAACTGACAATTTTGTGGTTTTACAACCTATTTTTATGACAACAACTTGCGCATGTGGCCGCGTTACGAGAGCGAGCGATATGAGCGATCAATGTTTACACTGTTATTCTACGAGTGTGACGTCACATTCGTTTTATTGTGAATCGTGTCACGTTCGTTTAAATGTCGTGTCACATTCGTTTAAACGTGAATCGCCCAATGCCTGGTGCTATTTGAGCACAAATTCACGTGAAGTCACGTTCAAATGAATGTGACACAATATTCAAACGAATGTGACACGTTTCACATCGAAACGAATGTGACGTCACATTCCCTGAATAACAGTGTATATAATATTAGAATTTAATAATAAAATCACAATACGAACTTTTGGGAGATTGGGGGAGATTGTTGTCTACGGTAGTGCTGTTTTAAGTCCATGTTCTCCAGGTCCGCCAAGACGCGACGGTTCCAATGTAAAGCAACACAGAACTTCATACTGTGCGAAAAAAAAGGTGGGAGAGGAAGGGGGGAGCGAGCTTAGAAGAACAACAACTATGCACCCGATTTTGATTGATACTTGACCTTTGGCGGAGCTCCAGGATAAACGCGCAAACACACGCACACTGACACCACACACCCACACCTCCACACACTTGCACCACAGAAAATAATCCAGAAAGCGCACTCATTATTTAATCCCGCTGCTTACCATTGCGCAGGGATTGGCTGTGCTTGAGCTCTCGTCGGCGAAACAAACGTGAAGGAGAACCATGTTCCACGGCGCTTTTATATGAGTCGCCCGGTGAGCCAGCCCGGAGTCCACCTGGAGGGAGTTGGAGGGGGGTGCATGGAGACTCCACCACGGACTCCACGGGCGACTCCCACGCCACCCCGCCCCGACCTCCAACCACTACACGGCACACACGGAGGATAGGGCACCGACTGACACTCTGGCTAGAGGGTGGCAAAAAAACTGGCAGTGTGGCACATCACTGAGTGTGTTTGGACGTGTAGATTTCATTTCTGGAAACACAATTCAAAATTTTTGCTATGAGAGACCATTTTGCAAAAAGGTTACTTTTTGGATCATTTTCCCATGAGAGATCTCTGTTGAACTTTGATAGCGTGGTGCAACCTTTTCCCGATGTCGGATGAGATGAGTGAGGCGTCAAAACTTTTAGTTTTGCATGCACTGTAAATGGTTGGCGTCTTTTGACGCCAAAATATTGGCGTCTTATGACGCCAAAATATTGGCGTCTTTTGACGCCAAAATATTGGCGTTTTTTGACGCCAAAATATTGGCGTCTTATGACACCGAATTCCGGCGTCTTATGACGCAAAATTTTGGCGTACTATGCCGCCAAATCCTAAAAGACGCAACATTTTGGCGTCATAAGACGCCAACCCATTTACAGTGTGTAGCATCACCTCCCCTAACTTTTGAAACATTCAGTTTTTTTGCCGCCCTCTAACACTCTGCCCATTCCTTTATGCGCCACAGATACAACAAGACTCATCTTCCAAAGTAAAGACGTACTGGTAAAACAGTCGGGACTTGGCTCCTTATTGCCTTGGGATGTTAAATTGTTATGCCTTTGTAGAGGCACGAAAGTTCCCAAAGGCGTTAAAACGTAGCACATTTTGGACAGTTGCGCTAATCTGGAATTGCGACAAATTAAACCTCATTTCTGCCATAACTCCATTTTTGCGATTCCTTCGATTTATCGTTTTTCTGGACCTGATAACTTTTTATTGCAAAAAAAATGCAATAAAAAGTATATGGAAAAGTTATCACAAAAATAATGTGTTAATTTTTTATCGCATAAGTTTTTGTGATAAACGCAAATACCAGCTCCCGTTATACAGTAAACTTGGCGATGAAAGGTTATCATATTATTTTTGTGATAACTTTGCCTTACTTTTCATTGCATGTTTTTTTGCGATAAGAAGTAATCATGTCTAGAAAAGCGATAAATCAGAGGAATCACAAAATTAAGTCAGCGCATACTTTTGTGATAAAAGTTTCATAGATCCAGATTCAGTGTGTATCATGCCTTTTTTTTCGGGATACTAACTTTAATGCCTTTTTAAAGTCATTAAATCCTCCTTTGAGTCCAACCTTGTTTTTGGTTTTTTGTGTGTTTGGCAGTGGCGACGCCACACGACACAAAATGTGTGGCAATTGTACGCCATTGTATCACACAAACTTAACGCTAAGTTGTGTGGCGTGACTCAAGGAAGAGTACTGTATAACAAGCGGATAAAAGTAAAAGGGTAAAGTGATAGTCGTGCCCAACACAAGTAAGAGAGCTTGATGACATTTTTGGCGCTCACAACACTGTTAAAAGCTTACGGTGAATTTCACTGTAAGCTACGGTGACCCCCTGCAGCACCGTAGCTTACAGTGATATTCACCGTAGCCTACGGTGAAATTCACCGTAGCCTACGGTGAAATTCACCGTAGCTTACGGTGAATTCACTGTAGCCTACGGTGATATTCACCGTAGCCTACGGTGACATACACCGTAGGCTACGGTGCTGCAGGGGTTCACCGTAGCTTACGGTGAAATTCACCGTAAGCTTTTTACAGTGAACATTTCTGTGTGTCCCTCCACCCCACCGACGAATGTGTGTGTGTGTGTGTGTGCCCCATCCCTCCTTCCCTCCCTCCGTCCCTCCGTCCCTCTGTCCCTCCATCCGTCCCTCCTTCCCTCCCTCCTTCCTGTCCCTCCATCCGTCCCTCCTTCCCTCCCTCCTTCCCTCCCTCCCTCCCTCCCTCCCCCCTGAGTGTGTGAGTGACTGAGTGTAATCACTTCCCTTTCCACCCACTACTTTGGTCGTCCACATTGAGCCCCACCCAAAGTCACCGTCCTGACCATGACAGTCTCCGATGTATACCTTTTGTCTTCTTTTTTTTCCTTTTCATTTTGCAACGGAATCATTCACTCTTCCCCCACCCCGCAGTTGTTGGCGCCATCTAATTAAGAGCCACACCCACCGTTGGCCCGGGCCGAGCGGCGCGTCGAGCCGAACCGAATCGCCATAACACTCTCTGCCGCGCGCTTTTGTTATCTGATTTATTAAAAAACTTTAATGGCGCGCCTTTTTCCTGGATTGATTATTGCCTCTTGTGGGGTTTTCGTAATTTACAACACACACGACTTTATTCGGGCAGTCCAAATATTAATAGAACACGGCCGAATCAGGATTGATGGATGTTTAGCTCGTTAGTGGAGGTGTTAATGTCCACGGCGCGGACCTTGTCGACGCTCCGGGCGGCGGGAGACGTGTCCATCAACGGGAGCCGTCTTTTCGCTTTCAAACAACGGGAGGGGTCGGGACGCAAGAGAGGCAAGCAAATTCGCAATGAGATTTTTGTTATTTTTTAAATTAATTTTTAGACGATTCGATGGCCCGCGCTCCAGGTTATTACTTACCAAGGATGGATTAATATCGAACGGTCCCAAACGAAGTTATGTTTATAATGCCGCGATGATGGGAAAAGTGCTTCCTGCCCAATCCCGAGAAAAACCTGATCGCATTTATAACTCACGGTGTTTGTGAACGCCCAACTTCAAAGTTTGTGTGTGCCATATGGCGGGGCGGGGCGAGCTGGAGCTGGAGCGTGATGCTAGGAGGGATATGCTTGAGCAAAAACTGAGTTCGACCGAACTTCATACACAGAGAGCCGACCAAAAGGAAGCAAAGTCTGGGGGAGGGGTGGGGTTACTCATTTCAACTTTCTTAGAGGGATGCCGGGGGGGGGGGTGCGTCTCTCTGCACCCTGACACCTCCATGACGAAGAGGCGGAGGCCGTATGGGGGGAGGTCCAGCCAGCCACGGCTTGCGTTGTGGAGCATTATTGCCCTGTTGCGCGATCGTCCAGAACAAAAGCTCTCTTGGGTTTGCGAGGGAGCCGCCCGTGGCCTATGGGAGAGCTCTCCCACCGCGCACTCACTCACTCACTTACTCACTTACTCACTTACTCACTCACTCACTCACTCACTCACTCACTCACTCACTCACTCACTCACTCACTCACTCACTCACTCACTCACTCACTCACTCGGGAGGGAGG